CAACCTGGATGCCAGGACGTCGACCCTGGGACGCCGAGCTCGGTGTAGCCGGCGACCGACTGGGCTGGACGACCAGGCAGGGTTGCCCGGTCGACCGGGATACCCGGGCGACGTGTGCGAAGGTCGCCGGGGGTGGTTTCTGCGAGGACGACCTTGGGGGTGGTATCCCGAGGTCGACGTGGCTGGTGGGCGCCGTCACGGGCGGAACGTTTGCGCTGGGCACGTGACGGGGCTTTGGACACCAACCAGCCGCGCACACCTGCGAAGCAGGTGCACTGTTGTCCTGCGGGTGCAACGGGGGCAGCCGACTTGCTGCAGCGTTGGCACACCGTGGACATGCAACGTTGGCGCGCCGCATCTCTGCAGCGCTGGAGCGGTGCGAGCATTGCTGCGCTGGAACGCGGTTGAATGTGCTGCGCTGGAGGTCGACCAGCAGCCTAGCTAGCTCTGATGTAGTCTGTGTTGCCAACGTTGTCGCCATCATTTTGAATTATCTTTGTCATGTTTTCCTAGTGGAACTCTTGCCAATTCTCCCCGTGAACTAGCAAGTAGTGTGCGCACAAGGAAACGACTAAGTGAACGAATGCAAAGATCCCTCTCACACACGTGCCTTCCCCGTAGTCAAGCTCCCGTTGCTAGAGTTATCTCCGCAAGTTCTTGCTGCGCCTTCTGTTGGCAGCCTCGTGCTTGAAGCAACGATCCATCGTGTGGCCCGGATTCTTGCAGTACTTGCAAAATTAACACTTTTTCTCATGTGACTCCACTTCAGCTGCGCCAGCGTAAAACACCAGTTTCTCTCTCATGCCGTGTCTCTTATTGAAAATGTCGATTCTTGCTGATTGGAGAGGAGTGTGGCGCAGAGAGCGGCTTCATAGATGGCTCCTCGAGTGCGAAGCTGCGATTTGCATTATCGCCACCCTGGTTCTTGTCTGGAGAGGACTATGGTGAAGAACATGTCGTCAGGGACGTTTCTGCCACACTTTTTAAACTGGTCGCCTAGGTTTTAGCAGCGATTAATATATGGTCCCACTTTTTCTCCTTGAACCATTTTGGCTAATGCCAGTTGGCTGAGGCGGCAAATTAATGTTACTAGGTCTATTGCCATGTATATGTTGCGCATGTATTCTCAAGATGCTTGTGCTGGGGCGCACTCCGTCTTGAAAGAGCGAATGTCAAGCTGCTTGCGGGAGAGAGATCGCGGAGAAGAACAGTGTACGCAAGGAGAGACTCGTACTAATAGAGGTTCTTCAATTGGGGAGTGCCTTTCATTGGGAAGGTAAGATTCCCATCCTAATACATTCAAATCTACGCAGTTATCGCAAAGAGCTCAAACTCGAAGCTCCACGTGTAGAACTCGTTGCCGTCAGCCAAGATTAATGTCTTCAATTTTAATGTTGTGAGAGACTTGCTTTGCAGTGATACCAACGCGTTTGTTTATGCACGTTGTTGATTGTCCTGTGCATGAGCTAAACCTTGCCAATTGTCAAAGGTAAATAAATTTTCGGAGTTGACGCGTCGGTCTTTTCCAGGGAGAGGATGTCCAACTACTCCTCTGGCGTAGCTTGAGCTGTCGATGCTTATACCTTGATAGATTTCATGGGCATTGATGCGTGCAATGAGCTGCTGAACGACGTTGGCGTTGACGGTTGTCACCTCTGATGGCACATTGGTTGCTGTCACTGGTGGTGGGCCAGGGGAGTTTGCTGTAGTCTTTCCTTCGAGAGCCATAGTGGTACAGACCCTGTAACAGGTGTTCTAGGGAGAATGTTAAATGGCAGGCCATATAATCCAATCGTGCTTACATGCCATGTTGATATCTGTCAAATTATATGTTTCATATTATATATCTCTAGGTTGTGTAGGGGTGATTCCTTAGAGGGTACAACAAACTTCTCGATAGTCTTGTACCCCCTCCCTTTACCTAATCCATCATTCATTGCTCTCTAATCTTAACATGGTATAGAGCAGGAAGTTTCCTAGGGCCCACCACGGAAAACGAGATATTTTTTTTCCTGCCCGGAGCGCGCTTCGCGCCTGCCCTAGTCGCGCCTCGTGTGCCTGTCCTTAGCGGCCCGTCGCGGCCCCCTCTTAAGGTCCCCTCGCGGCCCCTCGTCAGGCCCCTCGCGACCCCGCTTAAGGCCCCTTCGCGGCCCCTTTCGCGGCCTCGTCGCCGCCCCTTCGCGGCTCCATCGCCGCCCCTTCGCAGCTCCGTCGCCGCCCCTTCGCGGCTCCGTCGCCGCCCCTTCGCGGCTTCGTCGCCGCCCCTCGCCGCCCTTCGCGGCCCCTCCAGGACCCGTCGCGGTCCCCTTCGGCCTCGTCTGCAGCAGCTGCCGCCGCCGACCCTGCAGCAGCTGCCGCCGCCGAACCTGCAGCAGCAGCCGCCGCCGTCCCTGCAGCAGCGGCCGCCGCCGAGCCTGCAGCAGCTGCCGCCGCCGTCACGACTGCCCCGGCCCTGCCCTGCTAGAGCCGCACTGCCCTGCCCTACCGCGCTACTGCTGCTGCTGTCACTGCTACTGACGCTGCTACTGGCGCCCACGTGAGCCGTGCCTACTGGTCCTGGATTCTTACAAAGGACACTTGACCACGAGTGTCAAGGAAACGTTATCCCTTTTCAAGCTCATCCCTGCAGTTATCCCTGGCGGCTGCACGTCATTGGTGCAGCCGTTAGACGTGTGCATCAACAAGGCGTTCAAATGCGCTATTCGCAAGCGCTACCAAGAATGGTTCGCATCCGAGGGCATCAACACCTCGACGAAAGCCGGTAAGCATCTTGTACCGTACGACTCGTGTACACTTTATGTGCCAATCACTCAATGAATCTCTTGGTGCGTGGCAGGAAACCTCAAGAAACCGCCGGCTGAAGAGGTCTTAAGGTGGGTGGCAGAGGCGTGGGAGTCCGTTCCCACTGCTCTCGTCGCAGATTCCTTCAAGACGTGCGGCCTGTCGAATGCAATCGATGGCTCAGAAGACCACCTCACTCTCCGACACCTCAAGTCGGGCAGTGAGGTGGATGTGTCGGACGATGCGGACCCTACAGGGTGGGCTGGGGACAACAGCACCATGTCTCGTCTCCCAGCACACGACAAGGGGACAAAGGCTGGCGAGGGGACAGAGGCTGACGAGGACGGGCTGGAAGGTGGGGCAGAAGAGGAGGAGGGAGTTGATGAGTTTGAGGAAGAGAGCTGGTGGCGGGAGGACGAAGATGACCCCACCGACTACGCCCCTTTCAATGAGGGCGAGTAGAACGAGCCCTCATAAGGGCAGTGCATTATCTTGAGTAGTCAGCAGCCCGTTATTTTGAGTAGGCAACAGTGCAGTATCCAAAGTACCATAACCCCCTAAAACCCAGTTCATTTGGCTGCAGGGCTGCATGCTAAAGCATGGTGTGGCATTTAGGGCACCGTAACTGAGAGATGAGAGCAAGGGAAGGTGTTTGCTAGGTATTATTGTACGGTAATTTGCAGCTAACAAACCGTTTGAAAAAAAAACAAAAACCACAAATTGGAAGAGGGGAGGGTGGGGGGGGGGGGGGTCTAATCCTGAATGCAATCCAAAAAGAGGGGTCTAATACAAAAGTGGAGATAGCATTAGACCCCCCCACATTTAACGACCCGGGGGTCTATAATTTTGGGGGGTTTATTAGCCGGGTAAATACGGTAACCACATACCAGTATTTGTTGTACCGGTATTCATTCTCATTATGATTCTTTCGGCCAACCAATATACCAGCAGATGTATTCAGACGTTCGCTGCTGTAAATATTTTTAGTTGAGTCTCTAAAACGACCCGAGGGATATTTTAGCCCAACAAATGTGCTATGAAATGTTTTTTCTACATAATGTATACAGCCACAGTGTTTGATTTCGATAATGAGTTCGTCGTATGGAGATTATAGTGGTGTACACTCATATATGAAACGACAAAACAAGCTACTAGAATGAATATCCTCGGGCAGGATCTGTTTGGCAGCAATGTATAGTAGCTGCGAATGACGTGGCGCGACCTGGTTTGAGGGGCAGCAAGCGCTTGCACCAATGACATTCACCCTTCCCATAAGCAAACTCTGCAGGTGGTATGCTGCGGATTGGGTTTTGCGGATCTTTCTTGTTCGTGCTGTGTGTGTTGGCACAGGCTAGGGGCTCGGTAACTGTTGACGATCAATCGCCTGTGGCGATCATGTGCAGATCGGTTACATGATTTTTCCGGCCACAACCCTACTACATTTTTCTTGCATGTTTAGGCCATTGATCGTCAAACTGAGGTAGATGATCCACCTGCACGAAATGATAATTTTAGACGACCGGTTACGAATACCTGGGTTTTGCGCAGTTTCAGCCCGCCGACTAAGATTTCGCGAGTGCGGTTCTTGTGTGATTTGCGAAGGTCGCACGTTTGCCTTCGAATAAACGGCGCTCAGCTTCGCGCAAATGCGTTTCCATGCATGTCACATAAAGTCCGACTGGTTTTGAGGATCGTTACACTGTGCGATGCAAATCGATTCCTCAATCAGTTCTAAGAATGGAAATGGGCTCGCAACCCTCTGAAAATGGGAAATTAACCTGCGTCCTAACAGCCAACAGGGTTTATTCTCTCCCCTCCCTGTGCGTCTCTCAACTAGCCCTTTTACGAGCGGCAATAGCACTTTCCATCCTCCCACACTCCCCCGACCTGCCTCCTCTGTGCCTCGTTTTGATTAGGTTTTATCGACTTGCTTTTTGCGTTCTAAGGTCATCACTTCTAAACGACGAGACATAACTCCGCACAAGTTGCATGTGGTGGCACGGCTGTACTATGGTACTGGACATTGCAGCACGAGGGAGCTACGAAGCGGAGAGCACATACCGTAGTTTTCAGTCGAGGTGACTCTTTTGTTGTGGTGCTCGTCGTTTTGGTGAAAGACCCCCCTGCTGCTGGCAACTCTCAACTCGTGCGCGACTTCTCACCCTGCTTTCAGCGCGCCTCCCTTTCAACCGCAGTGGCGTGTAACTGAGCTTTCCACGATGCTTGTGGGTAGTCCCGGCAGTAGCGGCAGCGGCCACTCCATTCGCCTGGGGACCAACGAGGATGCGTCGCAGCACATGCCTGTGCTCTTTCCCACCTATGCCCAGCAGCAACAGCAGCAGCAGCAGCAACAGCAACAGCAAGAGCGTGTAGTACCTGACGCGCGACGTGGTGCGCCGCAACTGGCGGCGCCGATGCGGCCGGCGGCGCAGGTGAAGATGCGGCTGGGCACCAACGAGGACGTCTCGCAGTACATGCCTCCAATCCACCGCGCCTCCGCTGGTCCCGCTGCGCCTCAAGCCAGCCCTTTCGGCGCTGCGGACGTGGCGTCCATGCTGGGCGCGCGCGTCGACGCCATGACGATTTCGCCGGGGGGGCCGCCCAGGCGGACCAGCTTCGAGGCCAGCCCCAAGGCGGGCCGCGACGCGTTGGCGGCGGTGGAGCGCTCGCAGTCGCACGACAGTCGCGGTCTCGCAGCCGGCCCGCGCGGCAGCGCGCCAATGGCGGGTGGCAGCCCGCGGAAGGACGGGTTGGCGCCTGGGATGGCGGGGTCCCCATCGTACGCCGCGCGACCCCTCTTCCCCGATCGAGGCGTCGGGGTGCGCTCGCCGAACCTTCACCTTCTCCATACCCTCTCGCCCCTACTCGCTCCGTTTCTTACCCTGGCTTGATCCCCTCCCCTTGTTTCCTCTTCTTCTCTCTTCGCTGCGCTCTGCTCCCTTCGTCCCTCCCCTGACCCTTCTCGAACCAGTTCCCTGCTCGCTCTGCGCACTGCCGTGCTAGTCCGCGCGCAGTGCTGCGCTCTGCTGTGTTAGTCCGCGCGCAATGCTGCGCCGTGCCGAGTTAGTGCGCGCGCAGTGCTGCGCTCTGCGCGCCGACTTTAACCGCGCGCTCTCCCACGTCGTGCTGCAGCGCCTCCCCCAATGCCACCCCCCTCTCCACCCGCCCCCATCCCCTCCTCCCACCTCCAGTTTCCATCCGCCGCGGGCTCTCAGGGCATGCGCGCCGCGCCGTACGCTCCGCGTTCCGCTCAGGCCAGCAGCCCGCCAAGCGCGCACGTTCCCGCGGCGAGGGGGTCGGGCGGGGGAATGGGGTCGGGCGGGGGAACGGGGTGGGGCGCGGGGAGGCAGCAGCAGGCGCCGATGCCGCTACCGGGGCGGCAGGCGTCGGGGGGGGCGGGGGGCGAGTCGTGGGACAACATGGGCATGAGCGCGGGGCTCAGCTCCACGTGGAGCGACCTCGACACGCGCTCCATCGGCAGCGCGGGGGGCAGCAGCGCGCGCCTGACGGAGGGCGGGGGGGGCGCGGAGTGCCGGCAGTTCAGCTTGGCGCAGCTGGCGGCCGCCACCGACAACTTCAGCGACGCCAACCTGCTGGGCCGCGGCGCCTTCGGCATGGTCAGCCCCACCCACCGCCCCTCGCTGCCGCCTCTCCCCCCCCCTCCCCCCCTCCCCTTCCAACCTTCTCTCCCATCATCCCGTTTGCTCCCTACCCCTTATTTCCCCTTCCTCATTTCCTTCGCCTTGCCCTGCCCGCCCTCCCCCGCCCCCTGCCAACTTGCCTCCGCCGCTCCCCAAGCCAACGTCAAGCCCCTCCTTTGCGCGCCCCCTCCGGTCTGTCGCCGATCGCCAAGAACTTCACTGTTTGCCCCCTGAATCGCCGCCCACGCTTCATCCGGAGCGGCCACCGTAAAGAGGGCACTGCGACACGGGTGATTAGAATGCGGCGACACACGCACACACATCAAGCACGCACACACATCAAGCACGCACACACATCAAGCACGCACACACATCAAGCACGCACACACATCAAGCACGCACACACCAAAAGCACGGGGAAAATATGCCATTCGTAACCTTCATGGGACTCGATAACACAGTTGGTAAAAAAATAAAGGGTACGGTCACTGCAAAGGGTGTTTTCACGCGACTGATAAAGAGTTTCACGGAATCAGTCACAATCAACAGGTAAAAAAAAACGCGAATGGTCACAGATGAAATTCCCGCCAAAACAAAAAGAATCTGGGTGCATTTCCGAATGAATCAACCCTAACACGTAACTAGCCAGGTGTTTAGGGTTGATCCGTTCCCGAACCGCATCCGATTCCGATTGGGTTTTAGTTTTTTTTTACAAGTTCGCAGATTGGTTGGGGGCGAGCGGGAATTTTGTTGAGTTTCAAGTTTTTTTGGCGGGAGTTACATGTGTGACCATTCGCGTGATTTTTTACCTGTTGTTAATGACTGAATCCGTGACCCCACTTACCAAACCCGTATGGAAACCCGATACAGTGACCGTACGCGTTTTTTTTGTAACATTTACGTTATCGAGTCCCAAGTTCGTTACTTGTGGCATATTTTCCCAAAAGCACGCACACACCAAAAGCACGCTCACACCAAAAGCACGCACACACCAAGCACGCACACACCAAAAGCACGCACACACCAAAAGCACGCTCACACCAATCACGCACAGACCAAAAGCACGCTCACACCAATCACGCACAGACCAAAAGCACGCTCACACCAATCACGCACACAGTGAACATGCGTACTGCCCGTCAACCGCAGTAATGACACTAATCGCGTTGCTTGTCTGCCCTCCCCTTGACTCCTCCTCCCACGGACTGCATGGCTGGCAGGTGCACAAGGGGCGGCTGCTGGGGTGTGCGGTGGCGGTGAAGCGGCTGGAGGGCGGGGGGTGGCAGGGGCCCAGCGAGTACCGCATGGAGGTGGAGGTGCTGAGCCGCATGCGCCACCCGAACATCGTGCTGCTCATGGGCCACTGCCCCGACGCCATGTGCCTCGTCTACGAGTACCTCCCAGGTGGCTCGCTGCAGGACCACCTCAACCCCGCCGCCCGGGGTGCTGGGCGGCGCCCTTTGTCTGTGGTGGAGCGCGTGCGCGTGGCATCAGAGGTGGCATCAGCGCTGCTGTTTCTGCACCACCACGACCCGCCCATCGCCCATCGCGACCTCAAGCCCGACAACGTGCTGCTGGACGCCAACCGCGGCTCCAAGCTCGCCGATGTGGGGCTGGCGCGCCTCATCGCGGAGGACGACAACGTCACGGCGCGCGTGCGCGGCACAGCGGGGTACATCGACCCGGAGGAGGTGGTGACGTGTGAGATCAGTGTGCTGTCGGACATCTACGCGCTGGGGCTCATCATGCTGCAGCTGCTCACGGGCGAGCCGCACGTCAAGGGCGTGCAGCGCCTGCTCGTCGACCTCGTCGCCACGGGCGCCTACAACTCGGGCGCGGCGGGGCTGGCGCGCGCCGTGGACATGGTGTTGGCGCGCCTCGACACGTCCGCGGGCGAGTGGGAGCGCGACGTGGCGGTGGAGTTTGCGCGGCTGGCGCTACGCTGTGCGGACCGGCAGCGCGCGAGGCGGCCGGACCTGGACGGCGAGTTGCAGCCGGCGCTGGTGGCCATGGCGGAGCGCTGCAAGGACGCTGCGGAGCGCCGCCGCGGCCACATGGACTCACAGCTGCTCTGCCCTCTCAGTCAGGTGCCATGCCCTCTCAGCCAGGTGCCATGCCCTCTCAGCCAGGTGCCATGCCCTCTCAGCCAGGTGCCATGCCCTCTCAGCCAGGTGCCATGCCCTCTCAGTCAGGTGCCATGCCCTCTCAGCCAGGTGCCATGCCCTCTCAGCCAGGTGCCATGCCCTCTCAGTCAGGTGCCATGCCCTCTCAGTCAGGTGCCATGCCCTCTCAGTCAGGTGCCATGCCCTCTCAGTCAGGTGCTTTGCCCGCTCTCCCAGGTGCTTCTGTTCTCTTCTTCTCAGGTGCTCTGCCGGCTCTCTCAGGTGCGATGCGCTGCAGTGTTACTCTCCCTGTCCGTTTCGCTGCTCCCCCACGTTCCTCACCTCACCTCTCATGGGATGCCCCCTTGCCTGCTGCCAGGAGCGCATGAGTGACCCGGTGGTGGCAGCAGACGGCTTCACATACGAGCGCAGCAGCATAGAGGAGTGGCTCAAGACACACGACACGTCGCCCGTCAACGGCCAGCCGCTGCCACACAATTTCCTCACGCCCAACAACACTCTGCGCATGCTGCTCAACTCCCACGGCTAGACCACCACCCTGCCACAACGCCACGGCCCACGGGTATTGGGAACCACCACACCACTGCCTGTGCCAATGTTGGAACGGGGCCACGATCTTTGGATGACAAGGGCCTTGGGTACCACGTTACGGTATGTTCGTTGAGGCCCTATTTGCTGCAGATTCCTTGATCGATTCCTGGCAATTACTCCCTTAAATCACTATCTGCATGTTTTATTGGGGATGTGTACCGCAATACCATGTACATGTCAAGTTATATGGTATTGATATCATTGTTAGGTTTTGTTAGGCAGCAGTGATATAATATAGGGTACACGTTAACACTTTTGTAGTACTAATCTCTCGCTAGTGCATCACCCATTCCGCTTGCAAACTTTGAGACCTAATTTATCAGGCCAATCTATCCCTGGTTTTGCTTATTTCAGAATTGTGCTGGGGTGCTGCAAGGAGAATTCCTTTTCCTTACGCCGCATCCTTGCTTAGTGCGTACAATACTGTTCGAGACACAGTACGCACCGTTACCGTATTCCCCCGGATAAAACACCCGGGGGTATTATGATAACCACTGGGAAAAAATGGGGGGGGTCTCCTCAACGGAAAATCCTATATAATACCCGGGTGGTTATATATGGCACTTTTTTAAAAATCAATTAGACAATTTGGGTGTTTCAATAGTCGTTATAACATCACAGGTTGAGGCGAGAATTCGAGTTTTGGCGAGAATGTGAGTTTCACCTCTCGGGCCACGTGCAGCGGAAGATTCGCCAGCGTGGCGACAGCGAGATTGTGGGAGGGAGGGAATCTCGGTAGATTCGAAGTGAAAGTGCACGCGAAATTTCATTCAGGGAGCGATTTTCGTCATATCCTCCCGTAAAAAATCTGACTCGATAACAGCTATAATAGGGTTTCGTAAGAAAAGGGGGGTGTTATAGAGAATCACCCCAAAAGGGGGGGTATAGTACCAACGGGGTCAAATATAACACCCTCTGTCAAAATGAGGAATGGATGATGCATTGATGTTGGTTGGGGTACATATAGCTAACCCTAAGTTTTGTACCCCCTAAGACAAACCTCACTATAGGCTACAACATTTGACACACCCCCATAGCCTAAGTGAGGGGTGTCTAGCAGAACCAAACGAGTACGGTCACAAGACCAGTCCAAGAAACGAAGCTCAGGGTGGATCACAACGTCACCACACAGTCTGAGCACAAACAACAGTGGCCACAAGGCCAGTCCAAGAAGTAACAGAGGTATATAGAAAGCAAAGTAAACAGTACACTCAAGTCTAAGCAACACGAGAACCAGTGTCAACAAGGCCTAACTGCACACAGCACCTCTGGTGGTCACAAGGCGGAAGCGCCTTGGTGAAGATGTCTGCAGTGTTGGCCTCGGACTCCACAAACTCAAAGCGAGCCTGTCCACGCCTCTGCAACTCTCGCAGAAGAAAGTACCTGACGTGAATGTGCTTCACTCTGCTCTCCAGTCGTGGCTCTCGACAAAGGAGAATAGACGCCTTGTTGTCAGTGAACAAGGTCGGTGCAGAGCTCGGCCGCTCACCAAGGTCGGTGAGCAAGAAGGTCAACCAACGCAGCTCCTGTGCCGCCATGGCACCAGCGTAGATCTCAGCCTCAGCTGTAGAGGTCGAGACCGAAGAGGAGCGCGTGGACCGCCAGGAAACAGCTCCAGAACCCAGGCTGAAACAGTACCCCTGAGTAGACCTGTGAGTCTCAGCGTCGTCAGCGTAAGAGGAGTCACAGTGACCAGTAAGTACGACAGACTGCTGCCCTCCAAGAACTAGCCCCACGCCTGACGTCGTCGCTAGGTACTTCGCCACCCTCACAGCTGCTGTCCAGTGAACAGGACGGTGTCTCCCTGGCGCAACAAAGCGCGCAAGAACGCTGAGAGGGAAGGCGAGGTCCGGGCGAGTACAAGTCATCAGGTACATGAGGCAACCCACAAGCTCTGCGTAGGGACCACTAGGCTCGAACGGCTCGTCAGGAAAGGGTCCAGTGAGTCTGTGGTCAACAGCAAGAGGTGTGCGCTGTACTGTGGAGTGCTGAAGCCCGAACCGCTGAAGGACCTGCTGCACCATGTGCGACTGTGAAAGTGTAATGGTGCGAGCAGCTCTGTCCCTGGTGATCTGCAGGCCAAGGTAGTGGCGCAGCTCACCAAGATCAGTGCAGGTGTGTCTCTTCTGCAGTTCGGACTTCACGTGTGCCAAAGCAACCCTGTCAGGGGTGGCGAAAACAAGGTCGTCAACGTAGACCAGAACAAAGAAAGGTGTGGGGCCACGACGAACGAACAGCGACGGGTCAGCAGAAGACGGCTGGAACCCAAGGTCAGACAGGGTAGAACGCAGGGTGTCGTGCCACTCACGAGGAGCCTGACGAAGACCGTAAACCGGTCGCCTCAGCCTCCACTGGGTCCCAGGAGGGAAAGAGCCAGTGAAGGCAGAGGGACGACGCAACCAGACCTCCTCGTGAAGACTGCCCTGAAGGAAAGCAGTAGAGAAGTCAAGAGAGTGTAACTCGTAGTCTCTCTGTGCTGCTACGTGTAGTAACACCCGAAGAGTGGTCATCTTCGGGGTGGGCGCGAAGGTCTGAAAGAAGTCAACTCCCTCGCGCTGACTGAAACCTCTAGCCACGTAGCGTGCCTTGAAGACCGGAGGAGATCCCGGTGGCCGCTTCACCCTGTAGATCCACATGCCGTCGACTACGTTCGCCCCCGGAGGGGGAACCTCATCGACGTAGGTGCCTGTGGATCTGTAGGAGGCCATCTCTGCGTCCATGGCAGCTCTCCACTGAGAGGCCCAAGGCCCTGACACTGCCTCAGCGTAAGTGCGAGGAGTCGGAATGTCAAGGGCGTCGGGGTCACCCTCAGGGGCGAGGAGCATGGCACAGAGATGAGGGGAAGCGGCGGCCAGGAACTCTAGCTCAAACTGCCTGTCCTCTAGGGCGTCACAGCCAAGGGCAGACACACCCCCGACGGCCAGAGGACTGGAAGGAGGAGCAGCCACAAGAGCGGTGGCGAAGTCAAGGCGGCGGGTAGAGGCAAAGTCAGTGACTGCGGCAGTAAGAGCGGACACAGAGGACACAGAGGCACGAGGGTGAGTAACAAGCGAGGCGAGAACACGAGAGAGAAGAGGACGGTACGTGCGGTAGTAGTCTGTGACAGGAGTAGGGAGCGACGCAGTGAGAGCCGACTCAGGAGGAGACGGAAGCACAGACGGAGACGGACGAGGTGGACTAGAACGAAGTAAGGCAGTACGAAGGTCAGTGAAGGGAACAGGAGACGAGGGACGAGCACGAGGGGAGCGACGAGAGGCCCAAGTCTGAGAAGAAGGAGGGGACAACGAAGACTGAGAACGAGGGAAAACAGCGGGAGAGGGGTCAGGAGGAGGAAGCGAAGGACCAGAGACGGGAGGAGAGGGGGAGGAGGAAGGAGAGGGAGAGGGGAGACCAAGGGTCCGAAGACCCGAGACAGGAGGAGGAGACGGCAGCTGCTGCTGCTGCGGCTGCTGCGGCTGCTGCTGCTCCAGCGGCTGCTGCCCCTGCTGCTGTCGCTCCTGCTCCTCGAGCCGCTGCAACTCTCTCTCCTCTCTCTCCAACTCCAGCTGCTCCTCACGAGCACGGCGAACACGAGCCTGGAACCTGGTCGGGTAGGGGTGGGGGGAAGGAGTAGTGTCCGGGGCAGCGGCAGCCCCAGAGTCGACCTCCGAAGCACCAAGCACACCACCCCCAGAGGCAGCACCAACACCAGCTCCAGACCCAGGCTCTCCAGAAACCGAAGGAACACCCTCACCCCCAGACGCAGCACCCCCAGACTCCGCACCAGCACCCCCAGACTCCGCACGACCAGTACCAGCCCCCGGAAGACAAGAGTCCTCTGCAACCCGCGGCTCAGCTCCAACTCCAGCACCCCCAGAACCAGAGACCTGTACAGGGACAGTCGCCGGACCAACCTCCCGAGAGGGAGCACCTGCAGGAGGCGGCGAGGAAGACTGTGGGGAGGGAGGCTGTACAGGGGGGGCTACCGAAGGGGGAGGGCTAGCCTGAGACACACCAGACGGGGCTGGACCAGGGGGGGGAGGCTGTACCGGGGGAGCAGGCGGGGGAGCGGCTGTCAGGAAGAGGGGGGGAGGAGGAACCGGGAGACCTCGACTGGGGTACCTGACGTAGTAGGGGGTGGACTCCTCGAAACGGACGTCACGGGAGTCAAAGAACCGGTGAGAGGGAGGGTGGTAAAAGGTGAAGTCAGAGGAGTCCTCAGGGAAACCAAGGAAGACACAAGAAACGGCGCGAGGCGAGAGCTTGTCCGCGGAGGTGTCGCGGACAAGAGCCAAGCACCCCCAGACACGAAACCTCGACGCGATACCAGGGGACCCTGTCCAAAGACTGGTCGGTGAAGCCTCCGGCCGAGAGACGCGTGGCCAGAGGTTCAGCTGGTGCGCGGCGTACCTGACTGCGTATGGCCACAGGAAATGGGGGGCACGGGCGTGAGTCAAGGAGGTGCGGGCAATCTCCATGACCAGGCCTATGCGACGCTCAGCAACCCCATTCTGCTGTGGGGACTCCGGAAGCGTCCAGGACTGACGAATGCCCTGTTCGCGACAGAATCCAGCGAGAATGCCGGAGCGAAACTCGCCCCCGCGGTCGGAGTGGAGACAGCTGACACGACGACCACGAGTGTCCTGGGTGGTAAGCAACCACCTGATCAGCGTAGAAGTCACCTCAGACTTCCTCGCCAGGGGGAACACTGTGGTATAGCGGGAGTAGTCGTCAACGACCACAAAAAAGAAACGCTCACGCTCAGGGCCAGGGCGAGGAGAGGGGCCCCAGACGTCCAAGTGCAGTGTCTCAAAAGGCTCGGTGGCCGGACGAAGGGAGGAGGAGTGAGGGGTGGCACGCAGCCTACCCTCGACGCAAGGACCGCACGGTGGTGCAAGGGACGGCGGCAGCGACGGCAAGACACGCGGGAGACCTAAGACCAGACGCTGACTAGACATA